GCAAATCAAACACAACAAAACTAAACCCAGGACGGAGCGGCGGGAGTGGTTCAAGCCCCTCTGCTAGCAAATCAAACACAACAAAACACAACCCAGGGCGGAGCGGCGGGAGCGACTCAAGCCCCTCAGCTGTCAATTCCGCCAATGCAGAAACCCTACTTGCGGCGATCAAAAGGCGAATGGCAAACTCCACACAAATCAGAAGTAAACATTAATGTCACAGTGGTGTTTTCAATCAAAAGCACATTAAAATATGGTAGAGACAACACATACCCAACGATGTTATAAGTTGTACATAGTGCATTTTGTATGTGGTTCTATTGGCATTATAGACTTTCCGCCAAAACCCAGCTTTAAAGAAGGGGAGAATGTAAGGTACCGATACCGCCACATGCCGAAGCCTGTGCTAGTTTCCTACCGGCTTCGATACAGGATTCAACCCTGGACAACACAGGATTCACAGCACAAGGCTAACGGCAGCCAGCGTATATAAGGACCGCCTAGCGCTGACTCGAGGCTAAATTCTACCGGCGGCCAAGAGGAACGTTTATGTAAGGGTCAAATTTTACAGTTTGTTTGAGGGCTGAGGCAATTATGTGCGATCTTCTGATGTAAAGTTTACAATAATGTTTATTTTCATACCTAATCCCAGTGTTTTTAGCTCATCAAAACTCTCAAATCGTGAATTTATTTCCCCAAGGCGTTATTTCAAAATCTGCTGCCATCCGCCGCTATCTTTGTTGTCTCGTTAAGTATGAAATCAAATGGACTGCCGTGCCCCTAGTTGGTTGGGATTGATTGTCAATTTAGATGCAAGAGATTGAAAGCAAATTTATATATCATGGTGGCATTACTATTATAGGCCAACTTATGAATTGTCACGGGGGTAACCTAGACTGTAATCATTGGCAATCGTCCAACTTTTTGATACGATTACAGAGGGAATTATAAACAGTTGCCAAATATAGTTCTATTTCGTGTTTAGCGGTGGAGTAAACATGGCCATGAGATATCTCGTGTTTAGCATCGGGGCATTTTGATTGTATGTGATAAATAATGTGGTAATTATTCACACTGCTTGTTATATAATATTGTGGATGCGTTTTTTACTAGGGAGCTATATGAAAATCTTCAACATCTAAAGAGCTGCCTGGCACGCCTGAGGAAATAGATATTTTGAAGAGCCACCAAAGAAGTGAGCCAGAACAAATAGAGCAGCAGTAGCAGCAGTAACCACAGTAGCAGTAGCAACAGCAGCAGCAGCAGTAGTAGCAGCAGTAGCAGCAGCAGCAGCAGTAGCAGCAGCAGTAGTAGTAGCAGCAGCAGCAGTCGCAGCAGTAGCAGCAACAGTAGCAACAGCAGCAGTAGCAGCAGCAGTAGCAGAAATAGCAGCGGTAGTGACAGCAGCAGCAGCAACAGCAGCAGTAACAGCAGCAGTAGCAGTAACAGTAGCAGTAGCAGTAGCAGTAGCAGCAGCAGCAGAAGTTAACAGCATCAGTAGCAGCATCAGCAGTATCAACAGCAGCAGTAACAGCAGTAGTAGCAGTAGCAGTTGCAGTAGCGGCAACAGTAGCGGCAGTAGCAACAGCAGCAGCAGCAGCAGCAGCAGTAGCAACAGCAGCAACAACAGTAGCAGCAGCAGCAGCAACAGTAGCAGTAGCAGCAGCAGCAGTAGCAGCAGCAGAAATAGTATATATTATAGCATCAGTACATATATTCCCGTTCCATATTGTCCTCTCCTTTCTTTCTCTCCTCTTGTCTCTCGCCCCCCCCCCCTCTCTCTCTCTCTCGTTCTATTTCTCTTTCACACATCTCACTTCCTCATTCTGTATTGATATTACTTTCTGTTGTTGTCTACTCTCTCCTCCTCTGGTCTTCTCTTTCTATGTAGCTATTTCTTTCTTACGTTTGTTCTCTCTATTCTCATTTCCTCTCTCTCTCTCTCTCTCTCTCTCTCTCTCTCTCTCTCTCTCTCTCTTTCCTCTTTCTTCGTATCTCTCTTTCTCTCTTCTTTCTCTCGCACTCTCTTTGCTCTCTCTTAGCTCGCCTCTCTCTCGCGCCTCTCTCGCGCCTTTCTCTCTCCTTCTCTTTGAATACCCCTCCCTTAACATGGCGTTACTGCGATCTCTCATACTATATGAATGCCCTCTATATCACTGATTAACTTTATGTGGATTTTTCTACTCGCCAAACTTTTTGTATTGAGCTGAGATTATGTGAACTAATAAATTCCAGAGAGACATGATACAATGATGTGCGTGGCCACATGCTTTGCTGTGGATCCTACGTCTGCGCCGCGGTATGCAGACTGCGCAGCTTCGCGCCGGATATGCGCACGCGACCGCGGGGATGTTTCAATATGAAAGCGGCTGTCCGCAGTGGAGACGCTGCGCCAAAATCGAGGGCCCGCGCGCACGTCTCCACAGCGGTCAGCGAGATGCGTCTGTAGTTTTAGAAGATGACAATATTATATGGACGATATTTCTAGAAAATTAGGGTTAATAATGATATATTAAAAAACGCCTCAGTCATGCTCGAGATTAGCACAAGTTACCAATTCTCGCTTAACACTACATTGGCTACTGTTCTACGACGTGTAACAGTCGGAGAGCCTTGGGTCGGTTTAGCTCCAGATTAGCTGAATCAAAAAGATTAGAATTTAACATATGAACAAAACAAATATAATAGTTTATATAAAATCACATAACAAAAGAAAGGATCGAGGTGATTAATAGGCAACCAAGTAATAAAAAAATTCAGCCAATATTTTCATACGCTAGCGCCGGATTTAATATAGCGAGGTTATTAACGCTATAGATAGCGATGTCCGAACTGAAAATGTATAATGTATTAATGAAATTATTATTAAATAAATCATTATTTATATGTCTCCGTCGTAAAAATCATATAAGCATTTATTGTAAAATAGGTTTAATCTGTTTAATAACTCCAAACAACAGTTACAACTTAACACGCATCACAGCCAGCGAGGCTGGAGTCTCGCCACAAACGTCTACGCGTTAGCTTCGCCCTGCTAGCAAGTGTGCCAGCACAAAGACCGTTACGCACATCCTGCTTGCCTTCGAATACTACTGATCCGAAGCCATTATGCAGACAGCTTGTGCCGTTGAAAATCAAGCTAATCACATAGCGCTGATTCGTATCAATTATTATGCCGGCCAAGAAGAGCAAAATTGTGGAACATCATACTATAGAAGCAATAGTTAAATTATGGAATAACAAATGTTTACTTGAATGAACGCGCTCGTTGACTTGCGGATAAGCCGAGTGAAAATGCCAGACATTTTTCTTCTCTTGCATGCCAAATGCATTGGCCGGCATTTCGATTATTTACGAAAAGTCAACGGGCTTGCAGTACGGCTACAGGATCAGCTGCACTCATTGCGCCCCATTCATGTCATATCAACAAATAAGGCGGGCTTATCGTGGCCTACAGATATGCGAAAATGAAAGGAAAAAGAACTTAGCACTGTGCGCAAAACATGGTGATATTCGTATTTGGGCCAAACTCTATCGTATAAACCGTTCTAGCCTAGCAGAATGCCCTAGTTCCTGAGCATCGGCGATTATTCCGTGCGAATGATATCTATCAGAAATTTGATCATAAAGGCGGCGGCGTGGACTGTGATGAAGACACAAAGTCGTCAATCTTCGTGCTAGCGACTTCTGGATCATGGCCGCCGTATACGTCCAGCCATTGCACATTGATAGCGTTATCGCACCTTCATTTCACGTTGATTCACCCAAATGAACTTATGTCTAGCCGCCGCACAACCCCGGCTTGTCACGTAGCCCCAATGTTTCTAATTAAGCATCTTTGATCTACGACTAAAAAATCAGCTGCCAAATGGACTGCTGTATATGATGTTCGTTATGACGCTGTCCCTATGCTTCTAAATCAGTTGCTGCGTGTTGCGTGTTATCCGCGTGGCCGTTTGTGCATCGCGCGCCGCGTGTCGGTGTGTGGGGTATTTGAGTTGTATGTGCGCTGCGTCTCGCATGGTGCCGACATGCGTTCGCGTACCATGCGTGAGTGTTTGTATGTCCGCGTACGTGCAAGGTGTGCTGTGAGTGATGTGCGTGCGTGCGTCATTGTGTGCGCCCTGTGTATGGCGTGCTTTGAGTTTTGTATCGTGCGTGCCGTACGTGCATGCGTGCCGACATTGCGCTGCGGTGTATGCGTGAGTTTGTGCCTGATTATGAGCGCGGACGTGCAACTGTGTGCGTGAGTGCAGTGTTGTAGGCGTGCTGTGCGGTACTGGGCGGTGGATGGCATGCACTACGCTCTCTACCTCCCTCTCTCCCATACCTCTCTCTCTATCCACGTTGCTCTTCCTCCCTTCTCCCATACCTATATAATCTATCTATGTCTCTCTTCCTCCCTTTCTTCCGATACCTCTTCTCTAATCTACGTTCTCTCTTTTTGCCTCTCTTCCATACCGCCAATCTTTCATTACATCTCTCTTCCTCCTCTTTCCCATACCTCTATATCCATCAACGTGGTCTCTTTCTCACTCTCTCCCATACAATCTATCTTCATTTACAATCTCTCTTCCTGCCTCTTTCCATACCTCTGTATCCATCAACTGTTCTCTTTCTCCCTCTCTCCCATACATCTATCTCCAACTACG